CCGAGGTGTCTCATTCCCCCCCACCCAGTGTCTCACTCTCCCCCACCAGGTGCCCTTACTCGCCCCCCAGGGCTGTCCTCATTCTCCCTCCAGAGGTGTCCTCACTATCCCCCTCAGGGGTGTCCTCACTCTCCCCCCCAGGGGTGTCCTTATTCTATCCCCAGGAGTACCCTCACTCTCCCCCCACCCAGGGGTGTCCTCCCTCTCTCCCCTGTCTCTCACTCCCTCCCCCCATGTGTCTCACTGTCCTCAGCCCCACACCCAGGAGTGATATAGTCCCCACTGCCAAGGCTGGGGAAGATGGGGACTGGGTTTCTCCCACAGTCTCTGACCTGCGCTCATCTCAACTCACATGGCAGAGCACCTATTGCTATTATTTTTATATTACGACTCTTACTCATGGAGAATAACAGTGCCAAATAACAAAGCCAAAAGGGCATGCACTAGCTTTGGATCCAGCGAGACCTGCTACCCACCAGATGTGACCTTGGACACACCCCTTACCCGTGCTGAGCCTCAGTTTCCCCTCCTGTAAAGGGAAGTGGTCGGCGCTCACCCCCCAGGTGACTGTAGGCAGCACTCAGGGGAATCACGCTGGTAAAGCATCCCCTCCTATCCCGGAGGGGCTCAAAATCTATCAGCCTCCCCTTTGCTCACTGAGGCCCCCAATCCCCTGCACAGAAACGATGGCAGAATGAAAAGTTCAGGATGGTCACCCATGATGACTATGAGGATGAAAATCTGTATGAGGTGAGTGGAGGGTGGGGACAGGATAAGGACAGGTGCACTGGGGGGTGGGGGTGGGCATAAGGTTCCTCCCTGGGGCTGGCTGAGGCAGGGACCCCAGGCGTCGGACACCGATGTCCACTGCTGCGTGTCTACCCAGGGCCTGAACATCGAGGATTGCTCCATGTATGAGGACATCTCCCGGGGCCTCCAGGGTACCTACCAAGATGTGGGCAGCCTCCAGGTCGGAGACGTCCAGCTGGAGAAGCCGTGACCCTGGCAGGCTGCCCTGCCTGCTGTGCTCCCAACTCTAGTGTCTTTTCTCACCCACCCCCCAACCCCGGACATTCTTCTCTCCCTTTCACCATTTTCCCTGAAAGTCATCTTCCCCCATGATAGTCCCCTGGAGGAATCTTCTCCCTCCAATGCCTCCTGGAAGTCAACACTTAGACCCTGCCCAGGATGGCTGCTCTTCCCTCTTCCCTCTAAGCTGTCTTCACTGCCTCTACACACCCTGACTTCATCCTCCCCCTGCTTCCTTTCCCAGGCTCCTCGCTGCTCCCTGCCTGGTGGGTAATGAGCCCTTAATTGCTGCCTCGAGGGGAACTGATTGTAGCAGCCTTGTTAGTGCCCCCCTCCTCTGTCATGGCCACTTAGTGATAATAAATCCTTCCCAACTGCAGACCTTAGCAGGACTCATGGATCTCATGGGGACTGGGCCATCCCCTCCCCAGGGGACCAGGAATCCAGGCCCCCAGCCCCCTCTTCCCTCAGATCCAGGAATCTAGGCCCCCCAGCCGCCCCTCCTCCCTCAGACCCACGAGTCCAGGCCCCAGAACCCTCCTCTCTCAGACCCAGGAGCCCAGGCCCCCAGCCCCCTCTTCCCGCAGACCCAGGAGTCCAGGCCCCCAGCTCCCTCCTCCCTCAGACCCAGGATTCTGCATCTAAGCCCTCCTCTGCCTACCCCCCACAACTGGGACCAGGTAGCCAGGCTTGGTTACAACCCCTGAAAGAAACAGGAAGTGTCTTGGGGTGGTTTCCACCCCAATCAAAAGGAGTGGTTTGGACCCTGCAGGTCCTCACCCCAGGCCCTGTCCCTGAGCAGGAGGGGGCTGTGTTGTGTGTGTTGGGGATGCGGGGGGCGGGGGGTAAGGCCACCATATTTATGCATATGTAAGCCCTGCAAACACAGAGGACTATCTTGTGGGGCTGGTACTGAATTCCTCGACTTTGGACTTTGGCCACACCTTTTCTCTGTGGGTAGACTTGTACAAGGGTGATTTGGAGCATTTGTGGTCCTAACCTGAGGCTGGTGGAGACACTCAGGGGGCAGTGACAGAGAGACACAGTGATATGAAGTTCCTGAGACAGAGATACAAAGTTCTTGAGATGCAGAGAGAGAGAGGGATGGAGAGACAGAGCAAGTGAAGGAAAAGACAATGAGGAGACACAAGGATTCCGAAGGAGACAAAGCCACAGAGGCAGATACACGGGGAAAGAGTGAGGGAGACAGACAGCAAGGAAGGGACAGAGCAGGAAGGAAAGGCCTAGGGATAAATGGACATGGAGAGACGGACCCAGCAAGACTCTGGGGAAACGATGGGGACTGAGATAGAGACGCAGAAAGGTACAGAGACACAGAGAAAGAGATGCAGAGATGGGAAGAGAAGGATTCTGAGGGAGAAAGTGACCGAGAGGAGGAGGAGAAATGCGGAGCAGAGGGTAGGGAAAGACCCTAACCAAGAAAGCAGGTGAGAGAGAGAACAGACGCAGAGAAGGAAAGACACACGGAGGGACACACATACAGAGGCAAAAAAAGAGAGGGCGACCAAGGGCCACGGGGCAGAGAAACCGAACGACGGAGAGGAAACCAAGGGAGGCCGTGGCTCCGACTGAGGCGGACGGACAGTGACACTCACCCCCCGGCCCTCCCCGCTAAGGGAGGTGCGGGTGGACACTCAGGCAGAGAGATGTGAGCAACGTGGAGCCCGCGCCCGGCGGACAGACAGACGGACAAAGCCGGGCAGAGATCGGGCGGGGCTGGGGTTTGCGGAGACCCGGGCGGGGTAGGGCGAGAAGGGGCGGGCCGGCGGGCGGCGAGAAGGGGAAGGAAGCGGAGGTGCCGGGCGGGCGCGGGGCTCGAGCAGGAAGCGGGGAGGGGCGGCGGGGCGGGGGCCTCCGGAAAAAAGCCCCAACTTCCTGCCCCGCCGGAGCCAGGAAGCGGGAGCCGGGACGCAGGACCGGGGATCGCCGAGCCCGACCTCGGGTGCCCCGCCGGTCACCTCCCAGCGCGGACACCAGGTACACCGTCCCCGGCCCCGCCCGCCTCCCTCCCCTCTGCTGCTGCGGGAAGTGGGGACGGAGGTGGAGGGGCCTCCTCAGGGCCCCACTGCGCCAGCGGCCGTCCCTCCCTGGGCCTCAGTCTTCCCACCTGTCAAAGGGGGTAACGAGGTGGAAACTGGTACCTGCCGAGTGCTCAGTGGGTGGGGATGAATGCTTCGGGACCGGGGTCAATGCCTCCCAATTGCCCAGCGGAGGACGGATAATCACCCCGTTGTACGGGTGGGGAAACTGAGGCCCAGGGAGCAGAACCGACTTGCTCAGGTGCGCACACATCCCGAGACTGCGTTGAGCTGATATTTGAAATCGCAGGTGCTTTCAGCTAAGCGCCTTCCTCCAACCCCGCATGCTCTAGGGCCACCTACAAAGGAAAACAGTAACAAGGCTATAGGCCGATTATGAAGCTGATAGTTGCCAGCAGAGTGCGTTTGAAAGCGTTTTGGGGTCATTAATTATGTCCTAGGAGATGGGTGTAGAGGTGAGAGGTGGAGACCTTCCCCCATTGTACAGATGGGATGACTGAGACTTCTTCCAGGTTACACTGCATGTCCGAAGCAAAACTGCGCTTGAACCCAGGATTTTTGCTTTCCAGCCCCAGAGGAAAGTGTTGGGGAATGTACAAGCGTTGAGAATTCAGCTCGTCCCAATTAGGGAGACAGGATAGGGAGGAGAGCCCCAGTTTTCGATCCGGGGACCCAGGGCCCAGGCGACTCCGGTATCTCTTCAGGCTGGAACCAGCCCCAACTCGGCGGGGGGGATGGGGGCGGAGCCCGGGAGAGTGACGCGGACAGTCGAGATACGGAAACGCCAGCCCTCCAAGACAGGCCAGAGCGGCCCTATCTGGCCAGCGTGGCGCCGTGGAGAGCTAGAGCGGGCGGCGGGAGGAGTGGAGTTGCCGAGGCTTGAGCCAGGCAGGAGTCAGGCTAGAGCGGTTGGAGGGAGGAGTGGAGCTGAGGGCAAAGGTGGCCTCTGGGGCGGATAGAGCGGCTCGGCGGCGGGGGTAGTGGGGAGCCCACAGCGGGCGCGCGGAGGCTTCGGTTCCGGCGGCTGCGGCGGCTTCTCTTCCGAGCTGGAGCAGGTGAGGAACACGGCCCCGGGGGTGTCAGAGCCTGACTCCCAACGTACGCCCCGGCATGGCCCGGCCGCGCACACCGCCACGTCCCTTGTAGGATTTGGGGGCTCGTGTAGACACACCTGCCACGTCTCCTGCGAGATTTGGGGCTCCTGTAGACCCGCCACGTTCCAGATAGATTACAAGGTCTTACAGACCCTCCAGGTTCCTGCTAGGCTCTCACAGAGACCCGGCTTCTTATAGATGTGAAATCCCCTTAGATCAAGAGCATTCTCTAGAACCCCGGGCCCCAGAGACCCTGAGTCTCTGGACCCACCACACGCACCTATAGAATTCTGCGGACCTTTGAAATCTTCAGAGGCCCCATAGACTGGCTACTTCCCCCGTAAAATCCTGACTCCGTATGAATCTCGAATTCCTGTAGATTCACCGTGTGTCAAATAGAATCTGGGTGAGACCTTATACATTCTTAAGGGCCCCTTATAGACTCACCTTGATCATTCTGTATTTTAGGATTTTGAAGGCATCCAGGGGTCCTTGGAAACCCTGGGTCGTCCACTCAATATCCGGTAGACACTGGATCCTGCAGAGAACCCAGGCCCCTATGTGGTCCCCAGTCTGTGCCCACTTCACTCTAAGACCCCCACCACTATGAACCTTTTAAACCTGCCCTGCCCCACCCCACCCCACCCCCTTTGCTGTGCTCCAGGCCGTGTCCATTGCCTATAGACCAGTGCTTTTCAACCTCCCCCGTTGAAGATTTGAACCAGATAGTTCTTTGTTGAGGGGGACAGGGCTGTCTTGTATATTTAAAGATGTTTAGCAGCATCCCTGGCCTCTGCCTGCTAGATGCCATTAGCACACCGCATTTTGAGACAACCAAAAATGTCACCAAAACAAAAAAAAAAACCCCACACCCGTTGCTGTCGAGTCGATTCTGCCTCATAGTGACCCTATAGGACACAGTAGAACTGCCCCATAGGGTTTCCAAGGAGCGGCTGGTGGATTCGAACTGCCGACCTCTTGGTTAGGCTAGCCACCTTCCCAAGGCCTTAAGCTTTGGACCAAGGGAAACGGCATGGGGACATATCAGCTGAAAATGGAAACTGCAACTTTTAACCAATTATTTTAGATACCTTTGTTTTGAGGAGTTCTACAGATTGTTTCTATACAAATGTAAATCTTAAAAAAAAAAAGTTGTTCAACTATTAGATTATTTCAGAGTATTTGTTGTGCGTATTAAAAAAACAGAAAACCCTGCAGACTTAATAAAAATGATAAACTAAAATGCAAAAAAAAAAAAATCTTAGTGGCTCTTAACCACTGTGCCACCAGGGCTCCAAATTCCCTGGGGGGCAACATCAGGTCCAGTTGAGAACCACTAATGTAGACTCAAGACCAAAAATGAGTTCTACTCATGGCGCCCCTGTGTGTTGCAGAGTAGAACTGCTCCATAGGGTTTTCGAGGCTGTGACCTTTCAGAAGCAGATTGCCGGGCCTTTCTTCTGCACACTTCTGGGTGGGTTTAACCCACCAGCCTTTCAGTTAACCAGTCGCTTAACTGTTTGCGCCACCCAGGGATTCCCTGATGTAGACCCATTGAGTGTCAAATAGAATCTGGGGTCTTGTACATTCCATGGTCTCCTATAGGCTCACTGTGAGCCCTCTGTATTTTAGGTTCTGTAAGGCTCCCAGAGGTCCCTGGAGACCCTGGACTATCTGTTCACTATTCTGTAGACCCTTGGTCCTGCAGAGAACCTAGATGCCCACTTTGGTGTTGGACCCACACCCCTATCAATCTAAACCCACACTGACCCCCAGAGCCCCAGGCACACAGCGTCCCCTCTGTTGTGCTCCAGCCCAGGCAGTTGCCTATAGATCCATCTACCTCCTGACAGCTTCAAACTGTAATTTCCTGGCCTTTGTGGGTCCTCCTCTCCCCCCATCTCTTAAACAGCCAGTCCCTCCAGAGTCCCCTCTGAGCTGCAGACCTCTGTGGAACAGCTGAGTCCAGCCTGCACTCCTCTCCAGGCTGCCGGGACCAGATGCCCTTGACTTTCCCAGGCATCCTAGGAGACCTGTGTCTGAGAGCTTTGGTTCAGATTTGTATCCCCTAAGTGGGGTGGGGTCCCCATGCTTTGAAGCAACACAGGCTGATGATTAAATGCATCAACTCCAGAGCCAGACTGCCTGGGTCCAAATCCTGGCTCTGTGCCTTACGAGCTGTGCCTCAGTTTCCTCCCCTGTGAAATGAGAGGATTAAATGAACTAACATCTGTAGAAAGCTGTAATGCTGCGCCTGGCACATCATAAGTGCACGTTAAATGTGATGTTACTGTGATGAGGATGAAGGAGGTAAAACCTACAAACCCGTTGCCGTGGAGTCGATTCTGACTCATAGTGACCCTGTAGGACAGAGTAGAACTGCCCCATAAGGTTTCCAAGGAGCTGCTGGTGGATTCGAACTGCCAGCCTTTTGGTTAGCAGCCAAACGCTTAACCGCTGCGCCACCAGGGCTCCATAAAGGAGATAATATGTGTCAAATACACGATTCAGGGCCTGGTACCAAGCAATGGCTCAGATAATGGGTATCCACTCCTCTTCCCCTTTGGAGTTGTTGAACCTCCCCGCCCCTAAGTGGGATGAGCAAGGACCCTCTATGTCCCGTGGGCCGCCACGTTGTTCAGCCCATAAGTTGCAGCTGTTGGCCTGGCAAACGTTTTCCCACCCTTCCTGGGCCTAATAATAGCCTGGGGTGCTTGTAGTTATGAGGGTGAAACGAGCGAGTAGAGGAGAAGCGCTGAGAGCAGTGCCCAGCCCATAGTGAGTGTTGTGTAAGCTTAGCTCTCATAATAAATAACAATCGTTACTATTATTCTGTCTTGGCTTACAAATTTCTTTCTGTGAAACCTTAGCAATGCTCCAATCTTAATTTACCTGAGCTTGGGTGTTGAACAAATACACTGTATTGAGAAGAATAAAAACGATGCCCGCTTGGGTGACCCTATAGGATCACTTTTGGACACTCCAGAAAGCTTCTTTGTTTAATAATCATAACCAGAACCATAGCGACCATTTATTGAGTACAAGGAAGGAGGCCTGTGGAAGAAGGAGAAGGGTGGGTCTCAAGCAACTAGAGTTATAAATAGCTTTGGGCTGTGGGGAGCACCCCCCCCCCCGTCTTCCCCCCACCCCACAGCTCCTTTCCGCCTGACACAGGCGCCCGTGGCATTAGTCAGACTAGTTGAGGACATAGAGGATGTTGGTGGAAAGACTCGGCAGAGGCGGCAACTCGAGGGGAGGCGAAAGATGGGAAAGACGGCAAGAGATGTGGGAGAAAGAGCTGGAGAGAGAGAAGGAGAGGCAGCACAGCCACTCAGAGGTGTGGGGACGGTGGCTACAGAAGCCCGAGGTGGGAAGACAGGCACAGAGACAGGGAGAGCAAGCAGCCGAGGCAGGGACAGACTGAGAGGTGAGAGACTTGTGGTGGAGAGCAGGAGGGAGGAGAGGCAGAGACGGTGGGAAAAATGAGAGAGGTCTGGAGGAAGGGAAAGAAAAATATGAGGAAACTGGGAGAAGAAGGGCAGAGACATGAGACAGTTTTGAGGGAGAGACAGCCAGGCAGAGCTAGCTGGGGAGAGGAGAGACAGCAAGACGGACAGAGGATGGATGGAGGCAGATACCACCTTGGGGACGAGCTGCCCTGAGGACAGCTCTAGTTGGACTCACGGCCGGGAAGTTAGGAGGTCCCTGAGGGACAGGACTTCACTGGGTCAGAGGACTTCTGATCCCTGAGGGAGGAGAGTTCAGAATTTTGTTTTCTTGTGTGGAGGGAGTTGGGGGGTTGGGGATTTGCCAGTGTGATTTCCTGCCACAGGAAGTGGGGCTGGTGGGTTCAGAGGCAACATCCTGCCCCAAGCCTGTCACTGATCAGAGGAGACAGCCCCCCACACCCTCCTCGGCTCCCTCTTACCTCCCCTCTAACCTTCCCAGCTCTGCTGCCTGCAGGCGCTGTCCTCTCAAGAACCAGCTCCAGCCCCCTCCTCCCTCACACCCGGGAGCTGAAGCCCCCTCCTCCATTAGGGACCCAAAATTGCAGGCTCCCAGACACAGCCCTCTCGTGGACCCAGGCCTCTGGGCCTCCAGCTCCCCCCACTCCAGGCTCCCAGTCCTTGGACTCCCTGCCCCCCTGGCCTCTGAAGGGCTCTTTGTCGCCACACAGAGGCCCCATTGAGCTGCAGAGGAGGAGGCCGGGATGGGGGGAGGCTGTTTACTCACCTTCACACCTGGGCTAGGAATCTGTGAGTAACCCGCCCTGCCTCCTCCTCCCACCACCTAACCACAGCCCCTCCTCTTCCCCAGCCCTGCGGAGCCCATGCAGGCGGAAGACATGGCCCGAGGGGCGGTGAGTGAGGCCAGCCGTGGGGTGAGGGGCTGGGGCTGTGCGTGGTGGGGGCACTGTGGGCTGAGGCCACCCCTCCCCTTCCACAGGCCTCAGGGCCCCCCCGGCCCGGCCTGGTGCCCGTCAGCATCATCGGGGCTGAGGACGAAGATTTTGAGAACGAGCTGGAGATGGTGAGCGAGAGCTGGATGGGGAGCTTCTGAGCCCCACGTCCTCCAGTCCAGCCCTCAGGGTCTCCTTCCACCTCAAGGTCCACTTCTCCACCCTTAGGTGCTCCCTGCTGTCCCCCCTCCCACTGCCCATCTTTCCTTCTCTCCTCTTCCTGGTACCTCCTCCCTCATCTCCCGCCCCCCCCCCAGCCTCCATGCCCCCCATTACCGCACAGATCCCCATTTCTGTCTTCATCACCCACCATATGACATTAAACCTCATCCATTCCCCCCGCACCTGCCTTTGCTGCCCACCGTTGACACCCCTGCCCGCCAGGATCTCCCCAGCTTGGCTCCCTTGGGAAGTGCTGACCTTGGGGTAGGGTCCAGCCCACGGTCCGTCCTCTTCTCCCCATTCTGCTCACCGAGACCCTCCATCTCCCAGAATGCAGAGGAGCAGAACAGCCAGTTCCAGAGCCTGGAGCAGGTGAAGCGGCGCCCGGTCCACCTCATAGCCCTCCTGCAGCACGTGGCCCTGCAGTTCGAGCCAGGACCCCTGGTGAGGGCAGGGCTCAGTAGGCACCGGGTGGGTGGGGCTGGGACAGGCCCACAGCTTCCAGTGAGCATGACCAGTGATGAGCCAGAGGGTCTAGAGAAACAGAAAGCCTGGCATGGGATCTAGAAATAGAGGGCACTGTGGACAAGAGCCAGAAAGTGTGCTGTGGCATCCAGAGAAGACTGTAGGCAGCCACATAGCTCTCAGCAGCCGCGAGCACAGGCAGAGAAGTACATGCGGCAAGTCATAACGAGCAGCAGAGAACCAGACAGTCGTGGCAGACACAGCACAGGACCCAGTCACCCCTGCCCCGCCACGCCCATACTGTACCACCCATCTGTGACGGCACCTTTCCCCACAAACTCTGGAGGGGGACGCAGTCTTCTATGTGGCCTTCTCTGCAAGGTTAGTTCTTGGGAGAAAGTTGTTAGCTATCTCAGGTCCAGGTGGCACAGCTGACCCTGAGCCAGAAACAAGAAAGCCGCTCCAGGCAGCCCACAAGGAAAAAGGACGTGATTAACGATCCAGAAACCTCCTGCAGCAGGTAGAAGATTGCTGGGAGATGCGAGTGCAGACCCATGTCGTCCAGAACCACCTGCAGAGTCCAGAAGACTCAGTCGGTGATTTAGGCAGGAAGGGAAAGCGATTCAGAAGCCACAAACCTGGCCAGTGTTGGGGGTCTGTAGACAAGGGTCCCATCCAAAGACCCAGTGCCACGCAGCACAGATGACAAGCCGGGGATAGTCCGGGCCACAGTGCCAAACTCTGAATACTTGGCACAAATACCAAAACCAGACCTGTGGCCTTCGAGTTGATTCTGACTCATAGCGACCCTATAGGACAGAGTAGAACTGCCCCATAGGGTGTCCACGAGCAGCTGGTGGATTCCAACTGCTGACCTTTTGGTTAGCAGCTAAGCTCTTAACCACTGCACCACCAGGGCTTCAATATTTAGCATATCCCTCCAGAAAACAAGGAGATGGGTGGGAATACTGGGAAGGGACACCTGGGAGATGCAGAAGGAAAGGCACATGGACGAGAAGGCAGGAGATGCTAAAGCTTCCGGAAACTGGGAAGTTGCCAGTGTCTCTCCCTGTTGGAATTCTCTCTTGAAAAGGAGCAGCCCTTCCCCTGCTGCATGAATGCTCTGGACAGGGGGTCCCCCACCTGAGCCTCAGGGTTTCTAGAACTTGAGAACTCTAGATCCTGGAACTCAGTCCAAGGATTGTGCTGACTGCCGTGTTCTTTAACAGATGTGGGAACCGAGGCCTTAGGGGCCAGGGGTTTGCCTGAGGTGGCCCACACTGGCCTCTGGAAGTTTGAGACTTGCCCTCACGCGGCTCCCTTGCCTCATCTGGAGGTAGTTGTGGCCCCTGGGCTGCCGCTTGCTGACCTCCCATGGAGTTTGGCTTTATTTTGTGTATGTGTGGGTGGGGGTTGGGATGTAGATTTGTTGAGCCTGTTTCAAGTGGAGAAACTGAGTCTCGCCCCCATTGAGGCAAGCCCTTGCCACACTGAGACCATGTCCCTTACCAGGCGAGAGCACCCCCCATGAGGCAGGACAGGTTGGAATCCCCACTGCCAGTGTCACCCAGCCCAGGGCTGGCACACAGGTGACCTCAGAAAATTTTTGATGAATGAAGGAATGAGCCCCACTTACCCAGCTGTTTATTTACAAAGCCCCCACTGCGCAACACCGATTTGCAACACGGGTGACTCAGAACCTATCCTCCCAACACACACCCTCAAGTTGCTCATGGCAGTTCCGGGTGGTGGAGTGGAGTGGAGACGGGCTGCCTGGATTCAAATCCCAGCATTGCCACTTACGAGCTGTGTCACCTTGAGCATGCTTCTTGACCTCTGTGTGCCTCAGTTTCCTCATCTGAAATGGGGATAATGATAGTCCGTGTGATTGAACGGGCTGAAGTCTATAACCGTTCAAAACAGTGCCTGGGGTACACTGTGCCCTCTTAGTATAGCCAGCAGCAGCAGCAGCAGCAGCAACAGTAGCAGCAGCAGCAGCAGCAATAGCAGTAGCAGGAGTATCAGCAGCAGCAACAGCAGCAGCAGCAGTAGCAACAGCAGTAGCAAGAGTATCAGCAGCAACAGTAGCAGCAGCAGCAGCAACAGTAGTAACATTAGCAACAGTAGCAGCAGCAGCAGCAACAGTAGTAACAGTAGCAGCAGCAGCAACAGTAGCAACAGTAGCAGCAGCAGCAGCAGCAACAGTAGCAGCAGCAACAGTAGCAGCAGCAACAGTAGCAGCAGTAGCAGCAGCAGCAGTAGCAACAGTAGCAGCAGCAGCAGCAACAGTAGTAACAGTAGCAGCAGCAGTAGCAACGGTAGTAACAGTAGCAACAGTAGCAGCAGCAGCAACAGTAGCAGCAGCAGCAGCAACAGTAGCAACAGTAGCAGCAGCAGCAGCAGCAGTAGCAACAGTAGTAACAGTAGCAGCAACAGTAGCAGCAGCAGCAACAGTAGCAGCAGCAGCAACAGTAGTAACAGCAGCAACAGTAGCAGCAGCAGCAACAGTAGCAGCAGCAGCAGCAACAGTAGCAGCAACAGTAGTAACAGTAGCAACAGTAGCAGCAGCAGCAACAGTAGCAGCAGCAGCAGCAGCAGCAGCAGCAGCAGCAGCAGTAGTGAGACAGAACCACAAGAAGCCATACCAAAGGGCAGAAAATTAGAAAACGCTCGTGGTGGCCTCGGAGAATTCCTGAGGGAGACGAGGGTCTCTGGGTGGAGGAGAGGGGATGGTCAGGGAGCCCTCCCCAGAGGAGGTGGCTTTTGAGCCCCTCAGCCGTGGGCAGCCAGGAGGCTGAGAAAAACTCCAGGCTTTCCAAAGGGGCTTGTGGTTTGGGTGGGGTGGGAGTGAGGAGAGGTTACCCTCTGCGTCTCCGCCAGCTCTGCTGCCTGCATGCGGACATGCTGGGTACCCTGGGCCCCAAGGAGGCCAAGAAGGCCTTCGCCGACTTCTACCACAGCTTCCTGGAGAAGACAGCGGTGAGTCGCCCTTGCACGGCCCCCGCCCTCCCCTTGGCCCTGGAGAGCCGCCATGCACCTCCCAACCCAGCCCAGCTGAGGGCGGTGTGAAGGGCCCAGCCTTGGGAGACCCTCTGCCACCCTGGGCTTTCCCCAGTGCCCCCCAGTCATTCCCACCACGCCTCCTGGGCTACAAGGCGTTGGTCCTGGTCCTTGCCAGCCCCACCCTCCTCTTGACTCCGTTCTCTCAAGCAGGTTCTGCGGGTGCCAGTGCCTCCCCATATCGCCTTTGAACTTGGTGAGAGGAGGAATGGGGGAGAGATTTCTAACAGGGAGGCCCCAGGGAGGGAGACCGCCACACCACTCCCATGCTCCCACTCAACAGTGGAGATTCAGTCACTCCTTGATGGTGGCCGCCCAGGAACCCAAGGGTGGGTGGGAACTGTTGTCTGAGTGATGACTGAGCTGATGCCCAGGGAACTGATCCAAGCCTCTGTGTCCCTGCAGACCGTACGCGGCCTGAGGTCATCTCTGAGGACGTCCAGCGGCGGTTCGTGCAGGAGGTGGTGCAGAGCCAGCAGGCAACCATCAGCCGGCAGCTGGAGGACTTCCGCTCCAAGCGGCTCATGGGCATGACACACTGGGAGCAGCATGTGGCCCACCTGGAGGCCTGGGTCGGACGGGAACCCACCAGCTATGAGGCCCGGGAGCGGCACACAGCCGAGCAGCTGCTGGGCCAGTTCGAGGAGATGCAGTGAGTGGGGCTGGACCTGGCAGGAGAGCTTCAGCCCCTCCCCAGCCGCAGGCCACCTCTGCTGCCTCCAGAGCATTCCATTCCCTGTCCTGCGTGCCCTCTTCAGCTTTAGGGTTCATAAGTTAGCACTTGGGCTCCTCCCCTGGCTTTTGGGCCCCCAGCCCTGGCATTTGAGTTTATCCTGGCTTTAAGGTTTTCTCCTCAGCTTTGGGGTTCCCTCCCAGCGTCTGGGTTTTGTCCATGACTCTTGTGGTCCCACCTGGCGCTTGGGTCCTGTCCTTGTAACTCCCACCCCTACTGTGAGAGGGGGCTTCCTCCCCCTTCGGATTGTTCATTGTAGTTGCTTCTGGAGCTTCCCCCTCCGCCTCTTCTCCCTCTTCCTGTCCTATGTTCCTTCACGCTCCAATGTCCCTCACCTCTAAGGCGACGGCAACCGAGATATTTGTGGGGGGTGGGCTGGGACTCCAGGCGTAGCAAATTCATGACAGACATTTCTTCTCCCTACAGATCCAACACATCTGCCGATGAAGAAAAGAGGTGCCGGAAGCAGAGAGGATGACGGGGAGAGACACTGAATCTCGGGGTCTGAGGGAGGAGGGGGCTGGAGACTTGTACTCCAGAGTCCTGGGGGCTTGAGCAACGTGCCTGGCCCCTGTGCTTTTGAACCCTCCCCTCTTCCTGCAGAAACTCAGCAGAAAGTTGGTTGTGGGGTTGGGTGGGAAGTGAACGGGGAGGTGAGGACACAGCCTCTGCCGCTAGGGGGCAGTAGTGTATGCATCTGTGTGAGCGCGTGCGTTTGTGTGTGTGTGTGCGCCCATGAGCGCACGTGTCTGTGTGTGTGTCTGTGAGTGTGTGTGTCGAGGCCCTCACCGTGCCTTCCTCACAGTGCTGCTGTGGTCAGCGCCATCAGCCTGTACATGCGGCACCTTGGCGTGCGAACCAAGAGCGGGGACAAGAAGTCAGGAAGGAACTTCTTCAGGAAAAAGGTGCTTCCCTGAGCACCCAAACCTGGCCCTTCTCCAGAGACCTCCCTGTGGGAGGCCTCGTGAGTTTGGACACCCAGGGTCCGATTCAGCTTCATTGGAGTCTCAGAAATTCTCATCTCCCTCCCTCCCCCGTCCTCCCCCAGAACCGGCGGCCAGACGAGCCTCCCAAGACTAAGAAAGGCCTGAGCAGCATCCTGGATGCCGCCCGCTGGAACCGGGGAGATCCCCAGGGTAAGGTGCCCTGGCCTCCACCCACCCAGGCTCCTCATGCCAGCACCACCCACCTCACTCTCCTGCCCTCTCTTGTCAGTGCCAGATTTTCGACACCTCAAAGTCGAGGCTGAAGGTAATTGTCCTGAAGCCAGAGTGTCCATCCTGGGGGACTGTACTCCTGGGTCTGAGGGAGGAGGGGGCTGGAGCACAAGGCTGGGGATTAGCATCACTGGACTCTCATTGCCCTCCTTCTCCCTTGCTGTCCCCCAGCCGAGAAGCAAGGCTCTACAGAACGGAAGGGAAGTCTGGCAGTACCCTCTCGGGACCGGAATGTTGGGGCCATTGGGCAGGACACCTTTGGAGTCTCTCTGCACCCTCCGTCCGGGGACAGCCCAGACCAAGAACCAGGTGAGAGTTTCCTGGGCTAGGCTGGGACCATCCCCCAGCTGCCCACGGCCTTGTTCTCAGAGATCTTTCCACCTGTCCATCCCCGGCTGAAGCATGGAGCAGCCACTTGGTATCTGCCAGGCTCTGGTTAGCTTTAGCTTCCCCATTCCGCAGGAGAGGAAACCAAGGCCCTGAGGGTGGTCTCTGGCCGAAGGGGCCTTCCAGCCAGCCTTGCTCTCCCCCCGGCCCCCACAGGTGTTGACCCCTCACTGGAGTTGGGGGACCCGCCCCCACAGGGCCCGACAAGCCTGGAGCCCCCGGCGCCCCCAGAGAGCACCGAGGAGGGTGCTGACACGGAGAGGTGCCCAGGGCTGGGTGTGGGGGGCACTGCAGGGCTCAGGAGTGGGGGGGGTGCGAGTAGGGTGCCGCCGCCATTTGCACCTGCCTGCCTCTGAGCATCTCCACTCTGCCTGCTCCTGCCTCCTTTCTGCCGTCTCCCTCTTCCTGCTTCTCTCTGGGCTTCCTTCTCCTGTCCCTTCTTCCTCCTCCTCCCCGTTTCTCATCTTCCCCATCTCTCCCCCTTTCACTCTTTCCCTCCCTCCTCTTCCTCCCTTTTTTCTCCCCCTCCTTTTCTCCATCTTTGTTTTTTGCTCATTTTTCTTTTTTCCCTGTCTCTTTTCTCTCCTTTCCACTTAGCAATTTTTCCCTTCTCGGTCTAACTGATTTTTCCTCCCCTTCCCCCCCCCTTCCTCCCCTTTTCATTCCCCGAAGCTTCTCCTCTCCCCTTCTCCGTCTTCCTCATTGCCTTTTGCAGCCCTTGGTCCTTCCTCCTCCTTCTCCCCTGCCCACCTTGCTCCTGCCCCCACCCACGCAGTGCCCCCTTTCTCGACCCCCCCCCCGTGCTCCGTGCCCCGGGGGCCCTGTCCTCCTCACAGTTGAGGGGGGGCAGGCTCTGCCCCCTGCCTGTCCTTGTGCCGCTGCTTTGGGGGCCCTTGGAGGGTGTGGGGAGATGGGTTGGGTTCCATCTGGGTCCACCTCTGACCCTGTGCCCCTCTCTCCCCAGAAAGTGGAAGAGGTGGGTGCCTGGGCCCTGGGTGGGGCGGAGGGCTAGCCCCTCCCCCATTTCTCCCAGCCCCTCCCCTCTCCCCATGGGCCACCCCTCCCCTGGGTGGGGACATCACCCTCCCAGTGGAAGAGCTAAGTATTGAACTCCTCCTTTTCCCCTCCACTCCCCACTCTGCCCCCTGCCTCAGGGAAGGGAGGGGGTCAGGCCTGTGCCCCACTCAGGGTTCCCCTCCCCTCTCCCTGCCAGATTTCAGTATACCTCCTGACCGCCCCCCCACCCCACAGTCCTACCACTCCTCTGATTCTCTCTTCTCTCTTCTGTTGCATGTTTGATCTCTGTCCTCGACTCTCTCTGTTCTTGTCCTGGTCTCCTGTCTCTGTCCTGTCTCTGTCCCTGTCCCCCCCGTATCTGTCCCTGTCTCCCTTGACTCTGTCCCTGTCCCCCCGACTCTGTCCCTGTCCCCCCGTCTCTGTCCCTGTCCCCCTGACTCTGTCCCTGTCCTGGTCTCCTCATCTCTGTCCCTATCCCCCCGTCCCTGTCCCCCCATCTCTGTCCCTGTCCTGGTCTCTCCTTGTCTCTGTCCTGGCCTATGCCTGGCTCTGTCCTTGGCCTTGGGGTCCAGGCTGTCAGGGCGTCTGGGGCGCTCGGAGAGCCTGCGGGTGAGTGACCGCCGCCGGCCTCCCCGGGGCAGCCTCGGGGCTAAGGGCCGGGGTGGGGGCCGCTCCCGGAGCGACGTGGACATGGACCCCAGCTCTGCCACAGCTGTGCTTGGCCCTGCCCGACGAGCCACGTACGTCATTCCCTCCCCCACCCCCCAAGGCAGCCTGGAGAGTCAGGGAGGATGGGGGGCTGGAACCAGAGTCACAGAGAACTGGGCATTGGATGCCGAGGTCACTGAGGGGCCAACCATGGTCACGGACTCGCAAGAGGAGAGGGGTGGGTGGGATGCTTCAGTCTTAGAGATTTAGGGCTGGTCTGCCAGGTGGGCCACCAGATCTGGGGCATCGAACGCGGAGGCCACACAGAGGGCTTGGACACCAAGGAGTAGAAGGCTCCTACTTGAGACGCCCCAGGCTGGGGCCCTAACGGGGCCTCTGTCCCACAGCCCTGAGCCCGGAGACGAGGGGGAGCCGGGGCGGTCGGGACTAGAGTTGGAAGCAGAAGAGCCCCCCGGCTGGCGGGACCTGGTCCCCCCGGGTACCCTGCACAGCCTGCCCAAGAGCCAGGTGAAGCGGCAGGAGGTCATCAGCGGTGAGTGTGCCCCACCCCCACCCCAACGTCCCATCCCACCATGGCCGAGAACACCGTCCAGCCCTGGCAGGGGCAGAGACATAGGCCGATGTTCGTCTCCGTGTTATTTACCATAGGGAGAACTCCAACAGAGGGCAGTTAGTTACAGCCACCTGATGGAATGTTACGTGGCCATTGAAGTGACATTTCCAAAGAATTTTTAGTAGTACGGGACAGTGCTGAGCGTTAAGAGCTAAAAATGGTGTATAAAATTGCATTTATCGTGTAAACCTTCACTTCCTTACTTGTGAAGCATGGGTAATAATAGTCCGTACCTCAGCAGATCATCCTGACGATAAAAGGATTCGTGTGAAGTATGGGGTACCGAGTAGAAGCATTTTAATGGGACCGGTGGAGTCGCTATGAGTCAGGATCAACTTGGCAGCATTTTGGGGGATTATTAATAGGATGTTACTCATGTAGGGGAAAAGATTCCCATAGGGAAAAGTAAGAAAGGTCCTCATTCAATTTTTGGGGCTGTAGGTGAATAGTTTTCGGGTGGCAGATCCTCCCGAGGATGTGCTAAAAACATAAGCAGCGTCATAGAACTTTCTACAATGATGAGAACGTGCTATCTCTGCACTGCCCAGCATGGTAGACATTGGCTACGTATTGCTATTGAGCACTTGAAATGCAGCGAGTTTGACACAGAACTACATTTTTTATTTTACTTTATTTTACTTGAAATGTAAAGAGCACCACATGGCTAGTGCCTACCACGCTGGACAGCAGCGCAATCTCTCCGGAAAAATGCCACAAGACACAGAATGCTGCATGTTATCCCAGGGGACTCCTGGGGACCCTGAAACTCATGCGTGTACCTTCTGGGGGGTGGTCCCTGGATCTGAGGTTATCAACCTGTGTGTAGAAGAAAGCTTTGTACCCGAAACAGAGGCTCAGAAAGTTCCTGGAGCGTTAGAGACCAAGCTCAGCTGTGAGGTTGCTGGCAGTAGGACAACCAGCTGATCCTGGTTTGCCCCGGACTTCCACAGTTTTAGTACTGGAAGTCCCGTGTCCTGGGAAATCGCTAAGTGCCGAGCAAACCAAGACTGTGGGTCACCTTAGCTGGCTGCCATGGCAAAAAGAGAAAGGCAGTGGGTCGAGAAATCCTTAGTGCCTGTGTGAGGGACAAGAAGCCCTGGTGGGGCAGTGGTTAAGCACTTGGCTGCCAACCGAGACTGGCGGTTTAGACCCACCAGCTGCTCCATGGGACAACGATGTGGCAGCCTGCCTCTAAAGATTTACAGCCTTGGAAACCCTACGGGACAGTTCTGCTCTGTCCTACAGGGTCGCTATGAGTCAGAATCGACTCCATGGCAACGGGTTATAGAAGAGACAAATGACTCTACCCAGAGAGAGGTTTTTTCCCACCAACTTCCAGGAAGAGCTCACTACCAGCTCTGGCTACAGCCCCCTCCTCATTCCCCCAGCCTGCTTCTGAGACTGCCCCCGTAGCTCGCCCCCTCCCCCAACGGTGCTCCCTCCTGGTGGCCCGCAGAGCTGCTGGTGACAGAGGCGGCACACGTGCGCATGCTCCGGGTGCTGCACGACCTCTTCTACCAGCCCATGGCGGACAGTGGCTTCTTCCCGCTGGAGGAGCTGCAGAACATCTTTCCCAATCTGGACGAGCTCATCGAGGTGCATTGTGAGTGCAGGGCCGCGCCCGCTGCGTGCCCCACCACTGCCCCTCCCCTCCATGGCATCCTCCGGCCACCTGGGGACACTCTAGTGAACATCTGCTTGTTGATATACCTGCCGCCCCGGGCCCCCACAGCTCACATCCGAGGGGGCGGCAGGCACATCAACAAGCAGATGGGCAGGGGGACAGCCCCACTGGGATCAGTCACACACACATCTGCAGCCCGACCCCCTCCAGCTCCCAACTGGGTTCCACAAGCTTCCAGACCCTGACAGAACACCTCGTTTCCTCACCGCTCCCTACAGCCCTATTCCTCGACAGCCTGACGAAGCGGAGACAGGACAGTGGCTACCTCATTGAGGAGATTGGAGATGTGCTACTGGCCCGGGTAAGGGTCCCTACCCCGCAGCCCCCCGAGCCCCACCTCCCAGCCAAGGACCTGGAATCCAGGCCCCCAGCCGCTCCTCCCTCAGGACACAAGAGGCCAGGCCTGTATCCCTCCCTCCTCTCAACGCCCAGGGGTCTGGACCCCAGCCCTGTCCTCCTACTTAAGGCTTCTGTCCCCATGTGAGTCCCTGCTCTTCCCAGTCCCACCTGAGACATCCTCCCTGGCCTGAATCTCACTGTAGTTTGATGGTGCTGAGGGCTCCTGGTTCCAGAAAATCTCCTCCCGCTTCTGCAGCCGGCAGTCTTTTGCCCTAGAGCAGCTCAAAGCTAAACAGCGCAAGGAGCCTCGATTCTGTGCCTTTGTGCAGGTGAGGCCGGGGGGACTGGGTCCTCAGGTCTGAGGGAGGAGAGGACTGGGGAATTCAGGCCCCAGGGAAAAGGGGACTGGGGGTCTTGATTCTTGGGAAGAGGGCGCTAGGGGCTAGACTCCTGCATCTGAGGGAGGAGGAAGTCAGGGGCCCAGGCTCCCCCAAAGCATTGGCCACCTCAGTGCTGCTCTTCCCTCAGGATGCCGAGAGCCGTCCACGGTGCCGCCGCTTACAGCTGAAGGACATGATCCCCACAGAGATGCAGCGCCTGACCAAGTACCCCCTGCTCCTCCAGAGCATTGGACAGAATACAGGTGCCAGCAGGCCCCAGCGGGTTCGTAGGTGGGGCCTGCCCCGTCTTGCTGGGCTTCAGCTCTCCTCCTCCCTCTCACCTGGTCCGATACCCAGGAGCCTCTGGGGTTGGGATTCACTGGGCTCTTCCCTCCCTTGCCCACAGAAGAGCCTGCAGAACGGGAGAAAGTGGAGCGGGCGGCCGAGTGCTGCCGGGAAATCCTGCACCACGTCAACCAGGCCGTGCGTGACATGGAGGACCTGCTGGTGAGCCTGGGCCTGGCCTCGGGCCCCAGAGCAGCACGCAGGGTCACCACGTGGGCAGGTGTCAGGCCCAGCCTCGGCTTTTTCCCCTCGCGTCACACTGAGTGTCTGGAAGTTGGTCTTGGCTCTCGGCTCCCTCCTGGCCTCACAGGGGTCGTCCCTGGCCCTAGGCCTGTCCCCTAACACTTCTGTCCCTGCTCCAGAGGCTCAAGGATTATCAGCGGCGCCTGGACTTGTCCCACCTGCGGCAGAGCAGTGACCCCATGCTGAGCGAGTTCAAGGTGGGCCCGATCACCTGCCCTGCCCTGGGCCTGCCCTCGGCCCTCCTTGGCCCTTCTGCCCCAGGAGTTCTGATTTGGGGCAGAGGCAGCCACAGCCAGTCTGATAATGCACCCAGGCAGTAAGAATAACCTCTGTCCTGACCCCCTCACCCCCACTGGGCGCCCATTCCTGACCACAACCCCTGACCACCATCCGGGCCAGCTCCACCCTCGGCCTTCTCCTCCCTGCCTGGCCCCTGAGCCCAGCACTGTCCCTTCTGGCCCCCAGAACCTGGACATCACCAAGAAAAAGTTGGTCCATGAGGGCCCGCTGACGTGGCGTGTGACGAAGGACAAGGCTGTTGGTGAGCACTGGGGCGGAGGGCGGCGGGAGGAGGATCGGGGCTGCGGGCCGGCGGCCGGGGCTGAGGACCTGCTGCCCGCCGCAGAGGTCCACGTGCTACTCCTGGACGACTTGCTGCTGCTGCTTCAGCGCCAGGATGAGCGGCTGCTGCTCAAGTCGCACAGCCGCACGCTGACGCCCACGCCCGACGGCAAGACCATGCTGCGGCCGGTGCTGCGGCTCACCTCCGCCATGACCCGCGAGGTGGCCACCGGTGAGCCCGCCCCTTCCTGCCCCAGGAGCAGCCTTGTGTCCCCGGGAGGTGGGGAGGGGGCGTCCGGAAGCGCACCCTGGCTAAGGGGGTGGGGGCCGCTGCGAAGGCCGAGGAGGAACGCGGGCAGGCGCTAGGGGCAGCCGGGTGGGCGGGGTGAGGGGCGGGGTGGCGCTGGGGTGGGAGGGGGCAGATGGGGCGGAGCTGGAGGCGGGCCGCGCCAGGGACGGGACTTCTGTCAAGTCAGGTGGGAAACCACCGGAAGTTTTTGTACAGAGTGGCCAGCTCTGTTCAGTATTTCGAAGAGACGCTCAGGCTGCCTCGTGGGGAGAGTAGATAGTAGGGGAGCCCAGTGGGGTGGAGGGTTTGCAGACATACCCATGAGATGGTGAAGGGGGCGTGCACCAGGGCCTTGAGGGTAGGGACAGCTCAAGGATGCAGTTGTTTGTGGAGCCCGTGGAACTTGCTGGGGACTTGTTGCCGGATCAGATAAGGGGGAGAGGAGAGGACTCGGGAGAAGGGCACGTGGGGGGTCCAGGATATCAGCGGGGTAAATTGAGTCAGCAGGGGCCAGTTGTGTGAGCCCTGAGGGCACCACATCTGTGAGGGGGCATCCCAGCATCCAGTCTGACCTCAGGGAAGGGCGCACATTGGGGTGACCCTGGCTCTGAGCCCCATCCCCCCCCCCTTGCCACCCTACAGATCACAAAGCCTTCTATGTCATTTTCACTTGGGACCAGGAGGCCCAGATATACGAGCTGGTGGCGCAGACAGTGTCAGAGCGGAAGAAGTGAGGGGGCCTGGGGTCTCAGCACGGGCTGAAGGAGGAGGGCCATGTTCCTGGGTCTCTGGAGGGCTGTCGGGGAGGAGGTGGAGCAGCGCGGGGTGGGAGGCCCCAGTGCAGGGTCTGGGGGCCCTGACTGCCCAGGGGCTCGCCTGTCTCCTCAGCTGGTGCGCCCTCATCACCGAGACCGCCGGATCTCTGAAGGTCCCCGCCCCTGCCTTCCGCCCCAAATCCCGGCCCAGCCCGAGCAGGTGAAGGGGGCCAGGCAGGGGGCTGGAGGTCCTGGGAGTTGGGGGGCATCCCTCCTCAGAACCTGCACCCAACCCTGTCTGCGTGTGCATGTGGCGACCCCACCACGGCTATCGTCTGTCTGTCTCCTGGCCCCAGGCCTTGACTTCTGTCTGTCCCCGGACCTCCTTGCCTTCCCACTTCCTGCTCTCTGTCTCTCTGACCCTGCTGTTCCCTGGGGCCGGGCCGTGGGGTCACCCAGCACTTCCTCTCCCTAGCACTCGAGAACCACTGCTTAGCAGCTCTGAGAACAGCAACGGTGGCCGAGAGATGCCTCCGGCTGACGGTGAGACCCAAGGGGCTTGGGGGCTTGGGGGGGTGGGCAGCGTCCACAGGAAGCCCAGCAGGAGCTGAGCCCCCTCCCTGCCCACCCCCCACCCTCCCCAGGCCGCATGGAGAGATTTCTCAGCGACCTCCTGACCTTCTGCAGACCAGGCCCTGAGGGCCAGCTTGCCACCACCGCCCTTCAGAAAGGTAGCCCGCCCTGTGCCCCAGGAGCCACCCCCCTGCCCTGTACCCCGAGACCCCTTGGCCCATAAAGTGCTTCAGCGTCAACTAGAAAAAGGTGCCCCCTTTTCAACTCACTGTGGCTGCCACAAAAATTCCTCACTACAAATCCAGAGCCCACGACGAGGGGCATGCAGCCTGCACCACCGTCCTGGGTAGACCCCAGTCTCTCCTCCTTCTGCAGCCCTGTCCCCTGCTTGGCCCGAGTCAGCCTCTCCCTGTGCCCACCCCCATCCTCTGTGCCAGCCCTTGCCCCGCCCCCCCATGCCCTGCGGCCCCGCCCAGTGCTGACGCAGCCTTAGCTCCATATCCCTGTTCCTATCCCCTGCCCCATGGGCAGGTCTGCCTTAACCCCAAGTTCACCTTGCCTGATGCCCTCATCTCTAACCCCGGGATGTCCCCCAGTCCTCCCCTCCCTCCTCCCGAATCCTCTGGCTTCTCCTGACATCCCTCTTACCCACCCACCCCCAGTGCTGTCTCTGAAGCAGCTCCTGTTGCCTGCGGAGGAAGACAGCGGGGCAGGGCCTCCCCGAGAAAGTGATGGGGTCCTGGGTGGTGGTCCCCTACGCCCAGCAGAGACCCAGGAGGTCCAGGAGAATCTGCTCAGCCTGGAGGAGATCTTGAAGCAGCTGGAGGTGTGGCGGGTGGGACCGAGAGGTCAGCCTGAGTGGGTTGTGGGGGCTGGCTCAGTGGGGGACCCCTCTCGTTGATGAGCTCTCCATCCACCAGGAGATGGAGGGAGAATTTTGCCGCCTGCGACTACTCCTGTGTCAGCTGGGTGGGAAGGAGCCCAGCTGCACCTGAGGCTCCTGCCCCAGACAGGTGAGTATAGGGGGTGAGGGGTAGGTGGGAGGCCGCCGGGAGAGGCGGGGCCCGAGTGGGCTCCCCAGGTGCCCCCCTCTCTACAGCCCCACCTCTTTCTTTTTGTCTTTCCGGATCTCCCCACTCCCCACTCCCACCTCGTCATCGGTCATATTCTCTTTCTCTGGCTCTTCTGCTCTTGCCTCCACTTTCGCTGTCTCCCCGGCTCCGTCTCCCCGGCTCTCTCTCTCTCTCTCTCTCTCCCTGTCTCTGTTTCTCTGTCTCTCTGTCTCTGTTTCTCTGTCTCTCTTCCTGTCTCCATCTGTCTCTCCCTGTCTCTCTGTCTCTCCGTTTCTGTCTCTCTTTCTCCCTCTGTTTCTGTCTCTCCCCCTCCGTCTCCCTCTCTCTGTCTCTCTCCCTGTCTCTCTTTCTCTGTCTCTCCCCCTCTCTGTCTCCCTCTCTCTGTCTCTCCCTGTCTCTGTTTCTCTGTCTCTCTGTCTCTGTTTCTCTGTCTCTCTTCCTGTCTCCGTCTGTCTCTCCCTGTCTCTCTCTCTCCCTGTCTCTGTCTGTTTCTCTGTCTCTCCCCTCTCCATCTCCCTCTCTCTGTCTCTGTCTCTCTCCCTGTCTCTGTTTCTCTGTCTCTCCCCTCTCTCCATCTCTCTCTCTCTGTCTCTCCCTGTCTCTGTTTCTCTCTCTGTCTCTCCCTGTCTCTGTCTCTCTGTCTCTCCCCTCTCCATCTCCCTCTCTGTCTCTGTCTCTCTCCCTGTCTCTGTCTCTCTGTCTCTACCCTCTCTGTCTCGCTCTCTCTGTCTCTCCCTGTCTCTGTTTCTCTCTGTCTCTCCTCTCTCTGTCTCCCTGTCTCTGTCTCTCTGTCTCTCTCCCTGTCTCTGTTTCTCTCTCTGACTCTCTCCGTCTCTGTCTCTCCCCTCTCCGTCTCCCTCTCTCTGTCTCTGTCTCTCTCCCTGTCTCCGTCTCCCTCTCTCTGTCTCTCTCCCTGTCTCTGTCTCTCCTCTCTGTCTCCCTCTCTCTGTCTCTCCCTGTCTCTGTTTCTCTGTCTCTCCCTGTCTCTGTCTGTTTCTCTGTCTCTCCTCTCTGTCTCTCCTCTCTCTGTCTCTCTCCCTCTCTGTCTCTCCCTGTCTCTGTTTCTCTCTCTGTCTCTCCCTGTCTCTGTTTGTTTCTTTGTCTCTCCTCTCTCTGTCTCTCTGTCTCTCCTCTCTCTGTCTCTCTCTCTCTCCCTGCCTCGCTCTCCATGTCTCTGTTTCTCTGCCTCTTTCTGCCCTTTCTGTCTGTCTGTGTTTTCTCTCTCTCTCTCTGTCAGTCTCTCTGTCTCTCTCTTCACCTCTCTCTGTCCAAGTCTCCCTGTCTCCCTCCTCCTTGTACACCCCCCAGGCCTTCTGCAAGAAGGACGAAGAGGAACGGGGGAGAGGACGTGTGGGGCCGCCTCCCCGCCCACCCGCACTGCTGCCGCAGCATCTCTGCACCCCCAGGGCCTGAGGAGAGGGGGCTGCTACCAGGGTCATGCCTGGGAGGGGCCTGGCTGGGGTTACTGCCTCCCCCACCCTCTCACTGGCCCTGGTCTTCTCTCCCTCTTGCCTTCTGCTTGGGGGACTCAGGGCTTCATTCCAGGGGGCACCACAGTGACCCTCATTTTCTGGGCCATCTCAGTATTGCCTGGGAGGGGGGCACCCCTCCATCCTCTACCCTCAAGTGCCTTTGCTCTGTTTTTATACCTGGAATCGGAGGTTTATTTTTTAATATATATTATCTATGGAGAGGTCTGTGTGTGTGAGGGGCGGGCGGGGCCCTCAGGTGCAGTCTGGAGCCCCTGATGACGCTCCCGGCTTTGCCTCCCTGGGTCTACTTTTCTCCACTTGTTCATTCATTCATTCATTCAAGTTATCTCCCCCAGACACCCCAACATATACTGGGTGTGAGGGGGATCTCCCTGCACACGCCCTCCCTCCCACCCCCCAGCCCCCCACGGTCACCCACGACATGGAGGGGTGCTCCACATCCCACTTTCATTTCTGTTCTTTTATTTTTGTAGTAAACGCTCTGGAAGTGGCTGTTGGGGGTCACGGGGGGGTGGTGGGGTGAGGGCCCCTCCTGGGTGGGGGCTGGGGGCGGGGTTATTGCTCTGAGCTCCCTGTCCCCCAGGGGGGCCTTTGTGGGGAGGGTGTCAGGACCGGGACCGGCACGGGGTCGGAGACACGGCTGCACAAACACGTAGGTCACAGCATTGGGGAGGGCGGGAGGCTGGGCGCCATATTGCACTTCAGGAGTGGGGCCAGGTGGGGACCCCCTCAAACTGGAGGCTGGGGACCATCATGCTCCCGGCCGCTCTGTGGAGGGAGAGGTGAGACCCCCATTCTGCACTTGGGGGAGGAGACCACGGGCAGAGATATCGCCAGCCTTGGGGGAGTGCTGAGGGCTGGGCCTGGGCCTTGGGACCAGAAGAGCCATCGAAGCAGGCCAGGTGGTTGGGAAGAGGCTGCCTGGGCCTGCGCCTGGTGCCCGCCTCGGCAGAATCCATCACACCCCGACGGCTCAGCTGCCAGGGCCCCCTTTGCCTGCCTTGGCCTTGGGGGCCAAAGGGAGGCCCTCGTCTCCCTCGCTGTCAGAGCTGCAGCTGCTGACGTCAGTAATCTCCAGCTCTGAGTCGCTGACCTCCTTCCCGCCCAGTGTGGCCTCGGAGCCTCTGGAGTCTGGCAGCGCCAGGCGGGGGGCCACTGCCAGGCCCGAGGGGCACTCAGGGCGCAGGCCTTCCCCCGTGGCAGCCAGCAGGGGTGCAGCAGTGGGGCCTCCCCCTGCCCCTGTCCCGGGCAGGTGGCCCAGGGAACTGGCCAGAGGATTGGGGTAAAAGTGTGGAGGGTAGAGAGAGGGGGGCAGCTTGGGGAAAGGGCCGGTGAGGTATGGGTTGAAGTTCCAGGGGTACTCTGGGAAGGCGCGGCCGTAAGGACCCAGCAGGCCAGGGGGCTTGGGATAGCCAGTGGCACCTGGTGGGGGACGGGGGTCAGGTGGGTCACTCCTCCACCATGGGGAGTCTGCCTGCATGGGGACTGGTAAAGGGTGCCCCTCCCACCATATTCACCCTTTTCTCGCATCATCCCTCCCACAGGCGTCTCCCCACCCTTTTACATGGCCCCCCAGCATCTCCCCATTCTGCCTCCCACCATCTCCCCCTCCCCCACTGCTCTCCCCGCTTCAACACCCCCAAATGCCTGTTCGGCCTGTCTGGTCTTCTCCTGCCACCCCCCCGCCAGCATCCTCTGGTTTTTAAACACGGGTACACACAGCATGGCCCTGGCCCACCTCCATCCTGTGTCTCCTCTTCCCTCAAACACGTGCAGCTCGACCCCCACCCACCCACACTGGCACCTCCAGGCTCTTACCAGAGCCCAGGAATGGGAAAGGGCTGTCCAGACGCAGTTTGTCTGTGTCGGGGGTGAACAGGGGCGTCCGGGCCCCTGGCTCTCCCAGCCGTGGGGCAGAGAACAGAGTCTGCAGGGTCTGCGGAAGGAGGTGGCGCTGCTCAGCCTGGTGGCATCCCCTCCCAGAAAGGCACCAAATGCCCCAGTTCGGGGCCCCGCATCCTAACTCACCTCGGGGGTGAGGGGAGGAGCATCTGGTCCAGGGGTGCCCCCAAAGGGGCCTGGGGTCAGCAAGAGTGGGGAACCAGTGGCAGCTGCTGCAACGTCCAGCAGTGGGTAGTTGACAAGCACGACTTTACTGAAATTGAACTTGTAGGTGAACCGCTTGCCCTTGGTCTTGTGGAGAATCCGCTTGTTGTAGTAATAGCTGTGGGGAGAGGGGGCGCCTGGGGAGGTGAGGGGAGAGCCTGGGGTGGGGTCTCGGGGTTCTTAAGCACGTGTTCTGTGGCAGGCACAGGCACAAAAGTTGGGGGAAACTGAGGCTCAAAGAAGTCTCTTAACCAGGGTCACAGAGCAAGGAAGGGATGAAGCAGGGGCTGGGATCCTGGCCCATGTGGCTCCAAAGGCCAGGGCTTCCTTCCACTCACAAGTGGTTACGAGTAACTACAGATGCAGAGCCCTGGGCATCGGGGATACAGGGGAATTCTGCCCCCCATGATGAGGGAACGCTCCCAGGGGCCCCAGGGACCAGAGAGATGGGGAGGGGAGAAGGGGGTGAGGTGGCAGTCCAGGTTCCAGCCCCTCCTCACCGCAGGGCCCGACTCAGCTTGTCATAATTCATGTGGGGCTTGCACTTGCGGATACCCCAGAGCCGAGCCACCTCGTCGGGGTCCTTGATGACGAACTCCCCGTAGTCCCCCTGCCAGGCGATGACGCCCTGGTACTCCTCCTTCTGCAGCAGCTCCAGGATAAAGTGCCACAGCTGGATCTGCCGTGAGCCAGGGGATGACTCCGGCTTGTAGGCCCAATCCGGGAAGGCAAACCCTGGGGACAGAGGCAGGGGGTGGCCCCAGGTCAGGATGCCAAGTCCAGCCTCTCGGTCCTGCCTGGGCTCGGGAACCGGAGGCATTCTGTCCTTCTGACTCCAGGTCTTGGACGAGCAGCTGCCCAGCTGCAGACATCTTTAGAGACCAGGCTCCCACCCTCCAGACTCCCCCATGCCCACACTTGGTGTCTAGTCCCAAACGGTCCAAATAGTGGAAGAGACTTCACTTATCTGGGGGCCCTGGGTTGGGACTCCTGCCTGATCCCCCTACTTCAGCATCCTCAGGGGTGAAGGGTGGGGGGACCAGTTTCCTGCCTCCTTGACTTTGTGGGGAGGAAGGGAGGGCAGCTTACAGGATAGGGCATCCCCCTCCACAGTGTCAGCCCTTCTCCCGCCACCCCCAGCCCTGCCCAGCGAGGTTTCTGGTCTCTCCTGCCCCCGGAAATGTCCCTGTCTCGCTGTCTCCCCTCCTTCCCGTCCCTTGCCCCATCTCTCCTCATTCCCTGGCACATCCAGGCTGGGTCTGTGTGAATGTCTATGTCTTTGAACTTATCTGTGTGTTTCTACATTTCACGTCCCCATGTCCCCCCACTGTCCCCTCCTTGCATCCATCCTGTGTCCGAGAGCAGTTGAGAATGGGTGTGCGTGTGTGTGTGTGTGTGTGTGTGTGTGTGTGTGCACTCACCCACAGGTGCCCATGGCAGACAACATGTCACAGACATCTGTTCACCCACACAAGACACCTGGCTACATCGTGTGACACAGATGTACCAGAGTGCCCCACTCCTGCTGGGGCACGTGCCATACACCATGCACCACCAGGGCAGACATGCCAGACACAGGGCTGCCCGAGACATGAGGCCATGTCCTCCCCACCACCCAACACTGCACACCCATCACATCAATGACATAGCTCCCCAGGGCCCTCAGAACCGGGACCCACTCATAACGCAACTGCGTGATGCAGATACACACACAGGAAGGACCCCAGAGGCCCAAATAACACAGAGTGTGACACAGACAGTGAATGCCACATCAAGACGCTGCACTCAAACTCAGGCACCCAGACACCCAGCCTGACAGGCACCCACAGGTGACACCATGACATAGAACAACCTCCCAAACACACACAGGTGCTATGTGTCACACTCTGATACCCACAGCGGCATCAGCATGACATTTCCCACCTGGATGAGTATCCCACACCCCATCACCCAACACCCCAGCAGCACGGTGGAATGGGAAGGGGTCTTACCCACCCCTAAATCTCATCTCCCACCCACAAGGCCCCAGGCCCTGAGTCCTGCCTCAGAGCTCACTCCTACGCCACACCCTCCATCCTCTTCCCCTCCTCAGAGATGCCAGACCCAGGCAGGAAGACACCAGGCAGCATTAGTCTGTGAGAATGTAAGAGCAGTGCAGGAAGGGGAGGGGGCTGGTGGGGAGCTCGCTGGCATGGGGCAGGGACGACACCGGGCTGGGGCCTGCCCAACACAGAGGCCCAGGGGGCACCTACTCACACAGTCCCAAATGCACCAAGACATCACTGAGAATGTCACACTCCACGCGAGAGACCCGCAAGGGACGGCACCCTCCTCGCCCCACGGAGGCAGGTACACAGTCGCTGAGCAGGGCAGCCCCCAGCCAGTCCTAACCCATAGACATGCTCCATGCCCCAGCAGCACACGACATGCCCAGCCCAGAGACATTCAGCAGCCTCAGATGCGCGCGTACAAGCAGGCACACGCGCTCACAGAAAGACAGCCAGATCCTGCACTGACGGACTCGCCCTGGGGGATCCCTTCTTCCAGAAACACTGAAGTGTGACCAGGCACAGTCTCAGAGTGTCACACACATACACACAAACACACGCACACACAGCCCATCTCTGGGGCGCGGGCTCGGACACCCCAGCGGGCCTTACTGTCCACATCCCCAGTTCTGAGCATCTACTTCCAAGTCAGCTGTCCGCTCTCCCCGGCTCTGGCTCGCCAGGTCTTGTCTCTGTGTCCCCCCCCCCCCGCCTGGGTAGTCCTGTCTATCCATCTGGCCCAGTGCCCCCTCTGGTCCCTGGTCTGTGTCCACAGTACCTGTCTCTGCGCCCCCTGCATCTCCTTTCCCGCAGGTCCTGTGTGGGAGCAAGGCTGAGATGGCCACAGCAGAGAGCCCCAGCCCTCAGTCCCTCTCTGGCCTCACACTCTGTCTGTCACCCACCCTCCAAAAGACCCCCATCTTCCTGCAGGCAGGTGGCAGGAAAATCTGCCTGGGAAGTTTTCAGTCAAGTTTTTCATTAAGGGGTTTTTCATTCAGGGGACTCAGCACTGAGATCCAGGAGATGCAGAGAGAAAGCGGGGTGCAGGGCCAGCTCACTGAGGACTGGGAGAAGGGATGCGGGTTCCGGGCCAGTTACCGGGGGTCCAGAGAGCCGGCAGGGCGGGCGGGGCGAAGAGAAGGTCGGAGACGCAGCTACAGTCCATGGCAGAGCCGGCCCTGCAGAAGGGCCGGGACAGACACACAGGACGGGGCAGGTGGGAGAGACACACGGGTCAGCAGGTGCTGCCTGGGCCATCCCGCTCTGCCCGGCCCCCACCCCGGCCACTGCCACCCACCGCCCTCTGCCCCAATCCCCTGCCGCCCACTGCTTCCCACAGGCATCCCTCAGCCCCCGTCCCCTTCAGTCCCGGCCCCTCGGCCAGCCTCCTCCTCCCCACTCTCACGCCTGGATCGCTGCCTACGGCGCTCCCAGCTCCCTCCTCATGCTTCGCCCCCCCAACACACACACACACTCGCTGGCTCTCTCCGCCCTCACGCTCGCCATCCCAGTCCCTGCCGCTGTCTTCCGTCCGTCAGTCCGTCTTGCTGGCTCTCATCTGACTTCTCCGCATCTGCCCCTGCGTCTCTGGGTCTCCCTCCGTCTCTCTCCCTGGCCGTCCGGATTTATCTCGCTCTGAAACATGCCCCCACCCCTGCCCTGCCCGGCTGACCCCCGGACGGCGGCTCCTCCAGCCCCACGTATCCCTCGCTCTCATCCGGTGACTCGGACCACAAGGCTGCCGTTCGGACGGGCTGGGAGGGGACAGGCCCTCCGCCCCATCCCACCCCGCCCTGCCGAGCAGCACCCCGCGTGCATGATTCCACAACACAACACTCCTTAAACCTTCCGGTCAGCTGTCACCCCTCCCCTCAGACCCTGCTGCTTGGATGTCTCCACCCTCACACAGCCCCTCAGACACCCCTTCACCCAGAGATACACCTCCCCCCTCATGCAGCCCCTCAGACACCCCTTCCTCTTTGGGTGTGCCTCCCTCCTCAGACACCCCTCCCTCCTCAGATAACCTCCTGCCCGTAAGATACCCCATCCCCTCCTCACCCTTTCTCTCAGACCTTTTCCCCCATACAGTTCCACCCTTTCAGATGCCCTACCACTCACCACCAAGACACCCCCTCAGACACCCACAGCCTTAGACATCCACTCCCCTCAGACACCCACCCCAGACACCCCATCCCTCAGACACCTGTCTTTTGACCCAAACTCAGATACATCCTCCTGCTCAGAGACGGCTCCCCTTTGAATACTCCACCCTTTCAGACCCTACCTCTCAGATGCAGCACTTCCTCAGACTCCCCCCGTTTAGACACACACCCCCCACAGACACCACCCCCACAAGATACTCCTAAACAAGCCATTCCTCTCAGACACCCTGCTCCCCAAAGACGCCCCTCAGACCCCAGGAGCCCCACAGACACCCCATTCTCCCATCAACCTCACCTCACCCATTGGACACTAAACAAGACTTCTTAGATACCTCATTACCCCTCAGACTTGTCCAGTCTCCCCACAGACACCTCATTTTCCTTCAGCCCCAACACAAAATAGCACCCCAGTCCCCTCTACAGGCTGTCCCAGCCCTCACCCCAGGCCCCCTACCCCAGTCTGGCTTCTGTTGAGGGTCACTCCCACACACTCCCCTCCAGCACTCAGGCCCCTGCTGGGGGCCAGAACCCTCTCCCCCCTTAGCCCTCCCCAACCCTGCTCTCCTGCCCAAGGCACAGCACCGCTCTGACCTCTCTCCCCACACCCCTCTATCTCCGCACTCTCTCGTCTTCCCCTCTGTCTCCCTCCCTGTCTCTCCCTGTCTCTGTATTTCTCTCCCTCTTTCTCTCTCTTCTGTCTCCATCACTCAGTCCCTCTCTTTTTCCTTCTGTCTCCTCCCACCAGCTCTCTGCCATCTCTGTCTCGCTGGCTCTTTCCTTGTCTCTCTTCGACCGTGATGTCTCTCTCCCCATCGTCTCTCTCAGTCTCTCTCTATCACCACAGTCTCTTTTCCTAGTTGTATGTCTCCCACTCTGTCCCCAGTCCCATCTCTCCCCTAATCTCTCATCTCTCCCTTCCTCCCCAGTTCTCCCATCTCTAAGTCTCTCTCCCCATCTCTGCTATCTCTGGCTCTCTCACTCCACCATCTGTCTTGCCCTCCTCTCTCTCCGTCTCTCTGTCCCCCCACCCTGTCCCCCGTATATGGCTCTTTCTCTATCACTCAGTCTCTCTCTTTCATCTCTCGCCATCCCTCTTCAGCCCTTGTCTCTCTGTCTCTGCCCCTCTCTCCTGTCTCCTCACCTCTCTCTCCATTGCCCCCTCTCCCGGCACCTCTCCCTCATCCCCATCCGCCTCTCTCTCACCTCCCCCTCGCTCTGCCACTCTGGGTTCCCCTCCCTCCTTCCTCCCCCACCCCGCCCCCACCCCCCATTGGCCCCTCTCATTTCCGTGTTGGTTTTGATTTCTCTTCCCGACGCTTTCAACTCCCCGCCGCCTCCTCCGGACACGTTATAACGAGGAGCCGTGGGATCGGCGCTCCGGGCCCTGCTCCCACGCTCCCCCCGCCGTCTCTCGCACGCGACTCTGCCGTCTCGCGCAGTCTCTGCCGCCGCTTCTCTGTCTCTGTCCCCCACCTCTGCCCTTGTCGGGGCCCCCACAGGGACCTGGACCCTGTCCCTCCCGGCTGGCATGGTCCACTTCCCCATCCCGCCCGCTGTTCCTGCCACAACCGTCAGCCTGCTGCCCCTCTCTGCGTCTCTCCGTTGCCATGTCTCCACCTCTCTGTATCCCCGCGTCTCCGTGTCTCCACATCTCTGTTTTTACGTCTCTGGGTCTCCACATCTCTGCCTCTCCGTGTCTCTGCTTCCGTGTCTCCACGCCTTCTCATCCCACACCCGTCTCCACATCTCTACGCCTCTGTCTCAACATCTCGGTCTCCACGTCTCTGTTTCAGTCCCAGTGTCCGTCTCTTGGGGCCCCTTTGATCTTGTCCTGCCCCTGGCTCCCCCCTGGCCCCATTGATCGCTGATCGACTGACAGAGGAAGCAGGCGCCTGCGGGGGCCCTGGGCTGCAGGGCCGGACAGGGGCCTGGTAGGACTGCCAGACAGATGGACACGCGGCCCCAGAGGCTGCGGCAGGGGAGCTGCTGCAACCCCTGCCCCGCCCCGCCCCTCCCCACCGGCCGGCGCGGTGTGGATGGGGACTCCGGGCAAGCTTTAATTTTTAATTTTATTTTGCTTCCTCCACCCCCCCCCCGCCCCCCATCTCCACTGCCCGCAGCTATGGCACCGAACCGAGTGTGTGTGTGTGTATGTGTGTGAGCGCGTGTGTGTGCACAGCAGTGTGGAAAGGGGCTGGGCAGGCAGAGAGCTGCTCCCCTCCTCTCCTCGCCAGTCAGCCACAGGCCCACACACCAGCCCAGGCACACGCAGCGCCACTGTCACAGGCAACACACATCAACAAAGCACACACACCGCCACGTCACACACACAACATGCATCTCACAGGTGCACACGTCAAAGCAGTCACACATACCACTCATACACAATCACACTCAGACACACACATCAGCATAGTCACATTCACCCAGAAAGAGACAGCAAATTAAATGGTACACAGACACACACCAGTTCAGTCCCACACAGAAACAGACGCACAACCACAAGTCATAGACACACACCCACATCAACCACAATCACACACTGAGGCTCACAATCCAACACAGAAACGCAGACTTACAAGGACAGAAATGCACAAACACTGACACAGTGCCACACAGAAACCCAGACACCCCCAGACACACACACCAACACATCCAGTCACACACAAGCGACCCCAAAGCACGCAGAGTCACACAGGCCGGCCCAAGACCCTCAAGTGCACGTGGACTCCATCCCACGTGGAGACAGAGAGATAGTCCCGCTGGCACCTGCACAACCACACCCAGGCAGCAGACGCACATGACCTCCGGCGCACACTCGGTACCACACACCCACACATGACCAGCACGGTCGGAAACGCACGGACCTGCAGCCCAGCGTGGAGCCACACCAAGTCCTCCACAGAGGGCACTTGGCCACTCAGCCCCTCAGGCCAGCTGGGGGCTGGAGGGGACTCAGAGGGAACCCCACTCCAGGTTCCCCACTGCTCCCACCGCCATCTGTCCATCTGTCTGTCCATCTGACTTTGCACCTCTTAAGTGGGCGCACGCACGTGAGATGCACGGACCTCCTGCTGCTGCTGGCTCTCAGTCTCCCTGTCTCTCTCAGGACCCTCTCGGTGTCCGTGTTTCTGTCTCTCTCACTGAGAGTCTGTCATGCCGTCTCTCTGTCTGCCTCTATCTCTGAACATCTCTGTCTCTGTGTCTCTGTCCCTCTCCATCTCTGGGCATCTCTGTCTCCCCATATCTCTGTCCTTCTCTGTCTCTGGATGTCTCTCTCTCTACAGGTCTCTGTCCCTGTCTCTGAACATCTCTGTCTCTCCATGTCTCTGTCCCTCTCTGCCTCTGGACATCTGTCTCTCCATGTCTCTGTCACTGACTCTGGATGTCTGTCTCTCTCTGTCTCTGGACATCTGTCTCTCCATGTCTCTGTCCCTCTCTGTCTCTGGACATCTGTCTCTCCATGTCTCTGTCCCTCTCTGTCTCTGAGTGTCTCTCTCTGTCCGTGTCTCCCTCTGCCTCATCTCCTGGCCCCCCATCACCCTAGCCCCCCTGGGCTGGGGTTTAACCAGTTGTTTTGATTTCTCTAAGCTGCGCTGGCCGCCTCGGGAACCGCCTCGGGCCCGCACAACCCCCTCAGCCCCTTCATCCCTCCCTGGCCCCCCACCCCCACCTCCCCTTAACACAATCTGCACAAGTGGAATGAAAATTGATTTTTTTTTAAAATTTCATATCTTCTCCAGGGCTCTGTCTAAAGAGGAGAGAGACGCGGCCCAAGACCCTTCTCCTGCGCTGCCCCTGCACACGTGTACACACCTCACACTCGGGATACACACACACACACACACACACACACACACACACTTGTTTGCAGCCACCATGTCCACACATTCAGGCACCGACTGGAACACGCCCAGGGAGGACACGTCTGCACACAGGAGACACCCAGCAGCCACCGCACACTCCCCTGGACGCCCATGAGTGGGCACACAGCAACACCACACGCGACACACCCCTGGACCGCGGGCACGCTCCAGCCCCTGCCCATCAGCCTCCACACTGATGAGCCCCCACCCTGTCCCATCTGCGTCACACACTGTCTGCCCGCCTGCCCATACACACTCCTGTTCGTACAGATCACAACCACGGCCACATGTACACAACCCAGGCTCAGAGACAGGTCACTACAGGCTCCAAGGAGACCCATGGCTGTCCTGGGGAGGAGGGGGCCAGGAAGGTGACGACAGGGCTTCCCTGCCTGCACGTGCCCCTCCCACCCCAGGGGCCACCCCACGCCTGCCCACATCAACCAACGCTCAGGCCTGATTCCAGGCAGAGGGTGTCTGTGGTGCCTGGGATGTGCGTGCACGCGCGCGCACACACACACACACACACACACCCATTACTTCCCTCAGTGCCCATACAGTCACCCCCATGATGGGCACACAAAACATAGGAACCAAAATACACAGCTACCCATAACATCCCCAGAGACACACACACACGGTCCCAGAAAACACAACCAGGAGTGCACACAGTGACACCAGACACACAAAAATGCTCACACCCCATCATAGACAGAAGACACGGCATCACACACACACGTGGGCAGGCAGTCACACAAGTTGCACATACCTGCGCCACCCAACAGTCACACATAAATATACAACCCCACACATACACACACACACACACACACACACACACACACACACACAGAGCCATCAACACTGTTTAGGGTCGGGCACACACAGTGTTGCTCACCTGATTGTTATGAACCAACATCGCTTCTCCAGCCTGTTACATTCCGCTCCCCACAGCGACCACACACGCACACACACACACACACACAGCCCACAGATTCAGGGCCCCTGTAGCAGAACTGGGAGCCCTGGTGGCTCAGTGGTTAAGAGCTACGACTGCTAACCAAAGGGTCAGCAGTTCAAATCCACCAGCCGCTCCTTGGAAACCCTATGGGGCAGTTCTACTCTGTTCTATAGGGTCGCTGTGAGTCAGAATCAACTCAGTGGCAACAGGTAGCAGAACTGGACCACAGAGCCAAACCAGAACACACCGGGTGGATCGTGTGTGTGTGAGTGTGTGTGTGTGTGTGAGGCCATGCGTGTTTCCTGTCTGTGGCACACACAGGCACACACAGGCAAGCGTAAGCACACGCTTCACACCAACACACACCACCCACACAGGACACTGTCCACATTGGAACCTAGGCTCAGGCAGAGCCCACGGGCTCAGACACACGGCAACTCCTTAACACAAATGTATGGTCATGCAAACCCCCACACTCTCTGACACACCACCTGGGAGGTTGGGGACCACATCTCTCCATAGAGCCTCCTTCACCGTGTTCCTCACACCACACTCCCCGCCTGGCTCCTGGGCTCCTGTCTGGGTGGCACGCACGCCATTGTCCCAGCCAGTATCTCCCGGAGGAAGCCATCTCATCTCCTCACCCGACTCAGAGATGGAAGTTATTTTGTCTGGGCCACACAGACACACCCCTTGTGATCCCACCACATGCAAACACACAGACGTGGCACAACCGCAGAGTCCTGGACAGTCACCCAGACGCACGCACACCGCTGAGTGTCACACAGGCCACACAGACATGCTCCGAGACATGACACGTGTGGTTTTACTGGGCCCCATAGTCTCGTGCAGCAACGCTTAGTCCACTGTGCCCAGGAGTGCACACGCATTAACACACAGTGTGGTCACAGACGCTGCCACCCAAGTCACATGGTCACTGAAAAGACAGCCAAGCCAGACACATGCACACAGCACCACAAGCCACACACACACCACACACACACGCACACAGCATCATAAGCCACAGACACACACATAGTGCCACAAGCCACACACACACACGTGCACATTACCACAAGCCACAGACACACACATGGTGCCGCAAGCCACACACACACACGTGCACACAGCATCATAAGCCACAGACACATGTGCACAGCACCACAAGCCACAGATGCACACATGGTGGCACAAGCCACATACACACGTACACAGTGCCACAAGCCACAGACACACACATGCACACAGCGCAAGCCACAGACACACACATGCACACAGTGCCACAAGCCACAGACACACTCATGCACACAGCACCACAAACCACACACACACGCACACAGTGCCATAAGCCACACATACCCACACAAATTGTCACAAGCTGCAGTCACACATACATAGTAACACAATCCATACACACACTCAGTCACTGTAACACGTATACAATCACTATAGCACACACACATACCATCACTATAGCACACACACACAGTCACTACAGCACACACACATACACAGTCACTACAGCACACACATACGCACAGTCACTACAGCACACACATACACACAGTCACTATAGCATGCATGTATGCACACATGCACACACACACATAACACACCTACACAGAGGAACCTCTGCCAAGGCTTCACTGTGCAAGACAGAGGGACAGACTGACACACAGATGGGGCACTGGCCCTCCAGCCTGGAGGAGGTGTGTCTG